GTTTGCTGTTGGTTCTTGGGGAATGTTCCTACACGCAACCATCCACTTTTGTATCCTTTCTCCCCCTTTTGATATACTCTCGCTATGTTCCAGGCTGGTCTTGAACTCAGGATCCTCCTGCCTTGGCCTCCCAGGGCATTGGGATTTCCTTTAGCTTTTTCCTGCCTGAGAGCTGTAGTTTGCTGCTGCCCAGAACAAAGTCAAAATTCAAAATCCCAAATGTGTTTTTTTTTTTTACTGGACACACATTGTTTTCATACTATCATAAAGTTTAAAAACCCTAAATTCAAGTATTGTGATCCAGGGACTGTCTATACTTTCAAGTGATGAAGGGATTTAAGAGCTGGTACTGAGACACCAGCGTTAAATAGGTCACTTTATGTTACGCAATTCTGATATTAAGAATGAGGAGTCCTGGGTTCATGCCTGTAATCCCAGCATTTGGGAGGCTGAAGCAGGAGGATCACCGCAAGTTTTAGGCCAGCCTGGGCTACGTAGTGGGTTCAAGGCCAGCCTGGAATATATAGTAAGACCCTATTTCAAAAGCAAAATCAATCAATCACTAAATAAGGAAACAAGCAGTTGGCCTCCTTTGATAGTGATTTTCATTCTGCCCTCTTTATGTTTTATTGCACAAGACTTTTCAGTTTCAATTGCATTTGTTTTTAGTTACTGTTATGACTTGTGTCTAAATGTTACCCATAAAGCCTCATGCAGGCATAGGTGGGGCTTTTTTCTGAGGAAGTAGAGTGTGTGATTGATTCATGGTGCAATCTAGGCTCAAGGGCCCTAGGATCGAGGGTGTGAGTGCTGCTCACCCTAAGTAGCCTGGAAAAAATAAAAGGTGCAGAAAGACACTGTTAAGGTTTCTCGTTGCTTGGGTGTATCTTGAACTGTTTCTTTGCGATGCCTGTCTGCCATCTACCCTGCCTTGGAGCCGGCCTATTATGGACTGAAACCTCTACAAACTGTCAGCTAAATAAACCTTTCCCCTTTAACTTTGGGTGTTAGGTATTTTGCCTCAGCAATGAGAAAAGTAAATAAGAATTTGGTACCAGGAGTGGGGTCGTTGCTGTGACTACCTGACGGTGTGATTTGGGAGCTGGCTTGTGGGAAAGAGAAGAGTTAGGAAAGGTTTGGAGATGCTGGCAGAAAAAGTAGAGCTGGAACAGTGAGACTGTACTTGATGGGAGATTCTGGTCAGAGCCCAGAAGATGAGGATGCTGGTAGAAATTCTGTTGGTAAAGACCAGGCTCAGGAGGTTTCTGTAGCAAGGACATGGAGAGCAGAGGAACCACTGGGCTTGCCTTGTGTGATCAAGCAAAACTTCTCTTTACCCAAGCAGAAACAGGTGGGCCGACTCCGAGTGACAATCAGTGTAAAATGGGGGCAGAGCATAGATATAAGTAGAGAATTGGTTGCTAGGCGATTTTCAGGCATTGGTCAGATAATTTGTTTCCCGGAGGAATCTGGGGGCAAAGATAGGGTGGTCTGTGCTCCTCAGGTGGCTGTATAGATGTTTCTTGGCATCCAGGGCTGGGACGTGATGGCCAAGTTTGTCCGAAATGGTTTTTCCCTGGGGCAGTGAAGTTTCCTGCTGGCTGTGACCCTGGCCAAGTAGGGGTGGGGTGGGGTTGGGATGGTGCCAGGCTTATGTCATGTCCTTGGGCGTGAGAGTTTCTGCTGGGCAGAAGGACTGCATTGACTGTTGGATTCCGGAGGATGTGTGTATGGCTTGGCAGGAAGTTTGTTTGCATTTTGCTCATGTCCAGAGACTTTGCCTGAGGCTCAGATAGAGAGTAGCAACTAATCTTGCAGAAGAAATTTCAAGGCTGTCTAGTGTTGAGGCCATGGACTATCTACTGTTGGGGGCTTTTAGCCAGGTTTATACTGAGAATCAAGAGTAAAGAGTCCAGCTGGATGATTTAAAACATTTTGAGTTTGGCCAGAAAGGAAGCTCCGGGAAAGCAGTGGACTGCAAAGATAGAGCAAAGAGATCTTGATTGCTGAGAAGGAACAGGAGAATAGAAGAGTTGACCTGAGGCTATCACAGGAAGCAGAAGGACTCTATTATTTGCAGCCTTAGAATATTAAAAATGAAAGACTTTGCTTTGAGAAGAGAGCCTCAAAGCACCATGCTCCAGAATGGTAGCAGTGTAGGGAAATTGTTCCATGGGATTTGGTTCATAGGCACTGGACCCCTACAGCCAAGAGAGAAGGAAGCCTGGCTGCTGCTCTAGCTGGTAGCAGACCTTGGTGTCATCTACATGTTTGCTGGTTTTCTGTCCATACAGAATACAGGAGTTGTGGGGTCAGGAAGGCCTACACCCAGAGTTCAGACGAAGGCCCGGGAGGCCCCGCAGTGCACCCCTGAGAGGGCAGTGTGTGAAGCTGTGAGGGTGAAGCCAAAGGTGCAGCGGAGACCCCAGAAGGTTGGAGAAGCCAGGGATGTGGGTTGGCAAAAGAAGGGTACAAGACGTGAGCAAAGCCACCAAAGAAAGAAGCCACGGGAGCTCTGACCAGCAGAAGTGCTGTGGGGGTGGAGCCATCCAGGCCCTTGGAGTCCACACTTTCACAGATTGCTGAGGTTGCTGGAAATGGAACTGTGGGATTTAATGTTTGCCCTGCTGGGTTTTGGACTTGTTTTGGTCCCATTCCTTTGTATCCCCCTTTGTATCTTTTGGAATATATTCTTTTGGAATGTCTGTCTTGTGCCGTTGAATGTTGAAAGTGTTTAACTTTCTTTGCCTTGGTATAGGGGCTTGCAGCTAAGAGTTTGCCTTAAATCTCAGAGGAGACTTGGGACTTGGACTTTTTAGCAGTACTGAAACTGTCAGGACTTTGGCAATTCTTGGAGATGGACTAAATGCCTTTTGCATAAAGGGATGTGCCTGAGTCTTTGGGAGGGGCAGGGGTGAAAAGTTGTGGCTTGTGTCTAGATGTCCCCTCCCCCAAAGCCTCCGGCAGTGTAGGTGGGGCTTTTTCAGAGGTGGCTGCAGCTTGACTATGTGATTGATCCATGGTACAGTGCTAGGCTCAAGGGCTGTAGGATTAGGGTGTGAGTGCTGCCTGCCCTAAGTAGCCTGGAAGATAAGAGGGCAGAGAGACAAGGTTAAAGTCCCTTGTTGCTTTGCTACCTTGTGTGCACCATGAACTATTTCTCCTCTGTGATGCCCCTCTGCCAAGCCACCCTGCCTTGGAGCCAGCCAGTTATGGACTGAAACCTTTACAAACTGTGAGCTAAATAAACCTTTCCGCCTTTAACTTGGGCTGTCGAGTATTTTATCTCAGCAATGAGAAAAGTAACTAAGATAGTGATAATCTTTTATGGTAGCTACCTGTGCCTGAAGGTTCAAGCTATGCATTGTCATGTTTCAGCTTTTTAAGTTTAAACTGCATTTGTGTTTCTAAAATACAAGTTTAAAAATGGAAAGGCAATGTTGAACTTGTCCACTAACATTTGTCGGACACTTAGGTGCTGGGCACTGATACGCCTAAATTTTGAAATATATAAATAGTGTGACCACAGTGTGTGGTGGCATAGAACTGTGATCCCCACACTTGGGAGGCTGAGGCAGAAAAATCATTGCGAGTTTGAGGCCAGCCTAGGTTCCATAATGAGTTCAAGGCCAGCCTGAACTATAAAGCAAGATGCTGTCTCAAAAAAAACCCCAAACCCCCCAAAATGGTGTTATTAAGAATTTTTTTTTTTTTTTTTAACATTGAGCTTGATTTTTAAAAAAGGCTTTGTGGGCCAGGGTTTTAGCTCAGTGGTTCCACTGCCTGCCTCGCAAGCACAAGGACCTAAGTTCGATCCTTGGTACCAGAAGGAAAAAAAAAAAGGTTTTGTTATTGCTCTTTTCTTTCATCCAGAATGGAGGTGTATATATTAATAGTAGAAATGATTCAAGTTGCAATAAACATTTGCATTTTTGGCGTACGTGTTAACGGTGACCTAATTTGATAATTATTCTATTGTATGTTATAAGCCGCATACTTCTTTGCAGGTGTTGTATTTGAAAATGGAGAATTATAACAAAAGGCAAAAAATGATTTCTTTAATAACTTCAAGGTAGATTAGTTTTTAGTAAATTCACTGAGTAAAAATGTATGAGTATCCCAGGAAGCTGTTCAGTCTTAGTCCAGTGACACTGGCCTGTCACTAGTGGCGGGGGGAGCAGGGGCCTGTGGAGGCCACTGACTGATGAGCTTGCCAGTGGACTTCATCAGTTTCCACAGCTCCTCAAGATCTGTGTGATTTCTCTACCACGATAAGAAAACAGACCCAGTGTGGAGTATGAATTTCATATTAGTGTTTGATCACGGGAGAGCTGTTACAAGACCATTCGGTTTTTACAATTGAATTTCCAAAAATGCATACTTAGAGGTATGTATACTGTGTTTAACTGTATTTTCAGTGTTATGTGTAGTAAGGGAGAGAAACAACTTAAAAGTTGTTATGGAAGAAAAACAAAGGTTAGAACCTATACAAATGAGAATGCAGAAGTAATATTATTAAAAATTAAAAATAAAGGTGAAAAGACTAAGCCTTGTTCATTTGTTTCCAAAAGATATGTGAAAAATGTAGTTTTATTTATTTATTTAGTTTTATTTTTTTCAGACAGGGTCTTGCTGTGTAGTCCAGGCTGGCCTTGTACTCCCAGAAATCCTCCTGCCTCAGCCTCTTCAGTGCTGGGCCTACAGGCCAGGAGTATGCCACCACACCCAGCAAAAAAATGTAGTTTTAGAATTAAGAAAAGGTAGCTGTGAAAGATGTTGAGGGTTGTGGATTGACTCTGCCTTCATTTAACCTCGAGATATCATGCTAGAACGTGACTAAGGTTTTAGACGCTTGTTGGTTAACATAAACACGCTGGTAGGCAATAGAGAATGTGGTGCAAGAACTGTTTATGTAAGTATGGAAGTGCTCGGCCCACTCAGTGTTAAAATGGAGTTTGGTGAGCTGAATTGTTTTGGTTTGGATATGAGTTCTTAAAAATGGCGATTTCAGTGCTGCGCTATTCTTTCCCCTGTGCGCAGAAGGAGGACGAAGTTCCGGCATGTGTGACGGAGCGTCCAGCGAAGAGGCCGAGGCGGCGGAGTCTCTGAGCTGCATGCCGTTTGCCACTTTAGGCATTGGTGATGCCCGCGAAGGTAGGTGCTTTGTTAACAAACAGGTATTTAGAAGCTGTGTATAGTAAGTTAGTTATATTTTCCCTCAGTAAATTGTTTTAGTTTAAGTACGTGTCATTTTGTTTTGTTTTATTTTGGGTACCGGGGATGAACTCGGGACCTTGTCCTCGCGAGGCGTGCGGAGGCACCACACGTCATGTCTGATGTTAGCTGTATCTGTCGCTACTGTGTCATCAGAGCTATTGGAGGGCCGGGGGTGCAGCTCAGTGGCACCGCGCCTGCCTTGAGCGCAAGGTCCTGAGTTCAATCCCTGGTGGAGCAAAAACAACAACAACCACAAAAAAGCTACTGCAGACAGGGTGAAGGTGTGTTTAGCATAATTTGGGGCCTGAGCCTTCTGTAAACTGGGTGTGAACAGAATGGGCTCGATTAGTTTGTGGTTTGTAATCCCCTCTTCAGTTCTTCATTCCAGCAGTAGCTGCTCATCTGAGGGCATCTGCGTGCACCTCGCCGGCCTCCAGAGGGTTCCCGGGGGACCGCAACAGGCGGTTCCCATGCCCCTCCTGGGGCGAGCATGCAAAATAATTAAACTTGTAACTAAGACGCCCGTACTGATCCCATCGAATCCTTAGTAACTCTCTCGAGGAAGGCTTGCTTGCTTGAAATCCTGTTGGCACTACAGAAATATCTACCTTTGAACATCACGTCATTATAGAAACAATTTCCTACTTGACCTTTGGAGCCACCCCCACAAAAAAAAGCCTGAGAGATTTGCCTATTATCCAAGTTTCTTGTAAGCAGGACACCCAAAGTTAAAAGAGGAAAGATTTATTTAGCTCACAGTTTGTAGAGGTTTCAGTCCATAACGGGCTGGCCCCAAGGTGGGGTGGCAGAAGGGCGTTGCAGAGGATAAACAGCTCCTGGCAGGGAGAAGGTAGCAAAGACACAAGGGACGACCACGGCTCCTTCTGCCTCTCATCTTACCCAGGCTCCTCAGGGCGGGCAGCGCTCACACCCTTAACCCTAGAGCCCGTGAGCCTAGCATTGCCCGGGGAATCAGTCCTGGTGTCACACACCGTAGATCCAGCCACCTTGGAAGAAGCCCCACCTGGGACTGCAGGGGCTTCGGAGGGATGTCTAGACACAGACTAACGAGCATCAGTGCGCATTCAGTTCTGCAGTCGGCTGTCCACTGAGCATCCTTACAGGAAGCCTTGCTGGGACTTCCTCGGCCGCCTCGGCACTTAGGGGCCGGCTTGGTTACCAGGTGGGCGGTGATGTAATCATGGCGCAGGTGTCAGAGTGGCCCCTTTTCATTTAGTAATGGTCCATTTTACTGTTCTAGTCATAATTCTGTTATTTTTGCAATTCCTTACTGTGCGTTCATTTATTTTTATCTTCATTTCTAATCCATTAATGTAACTGCACAAAGAACTCATAGAACTGTAAACTCTTTGAGGCAGTCTATGTTTGTGATGCATCGTCCTCATGTGCACCTTGGGGAATCGGTCCCCACACTGTTACATCTTGACCAACTTTGTTCCCCTCTTGCCCTGCCCTTCTAGCCTGTCCCTTCCCTCGGCTCCCTCCTGCCTGCACCTAATTTATGCTGTGTGCTCTGTCTCTCGAGTATGGGTATAGAGAGGGAAAAACAGTCTCCATAGGTTCAGACCCATCTGTGTTTTCAGGTCTGCCCTGGGGGTTTGGAACCGGACCCCTGCAGACAACGGGGGATTTCTGTGGTTTGTTTTAATGGCTGAGATTGATTCTACATTAAACAAGAAGTTATCTCGTTCAGTCTGTACTTTGAGAGGAGAAAACTAAGACTTAGAGAAGGGAAAACTTACAAATTTGAAAAGAACTAGTTATAGAACCGGTGAGCTTTGGATTGGTTATTAATTTTCGTGGTAAACATTTATTGGATGCTGTCAGGTGTGGTGCTAGACATGAATATCGAAGCACGTGGCAGATCCACATCTGGATCTTCAGGAGGCTCCCAATGTCCTTGTGGAGCCAGGACATCAATAGCAGTAAGCTTCATACAATGAAGGCCACCTGGGCTAGCCTCGGACTCACAGTCACTGTGTAGCCCAGGCTGGCTTTGAACTCGAAGCGATCCTCCTGCCTCAGCCTCCCGAGTGCTGGGATTACAGTTGTGCGCTGCCATACTTGATATCGGAGTTTTGTGATTTGAAACATTCCATGTGATTCTGGTGCTTAGCCCCTCTCCGAAAGTGCGTAGCTCTCCACCTCGCAGCCTTCTGGGTGCAGTTACAGTTTGGGTAAGGGAAGAGGAGTACTTAAAATGCATGCTGTCTCCGGTATTTTGGTGATCAGTCTTTCCCACTCCATGGTCCAGGAGAAAAGGAAGCGTGAAGAGCTGTCTGCTGGCAGGACGTGCGTTTCCCCTCTCCTTTCCAGCTGGCCCTAGAGAAACACGCTGGAGTTTCGCAGCCCTTGGCGACTTTCATTCCAAGAATCTGCACTCTGGCTAAGTAGAAGAACCTTCTGGAAATGGGAGGTGGAATAGCCAGGATTGAAAGTTTTCCTCCCAATTCCGTGCTTCTCGAGGAAATACAATGATTATATGTAAACCGATTACATCACTCTGGTTTCGTTGCTCTCCAGCTGGGGATAAACTGCAGAACCGAGAACAGTGCAGGCTGGGGTCCCCCACATGCACTGCCCCCCGTCTTTGCCCTGGCCCCGGTTTCCACAGCTGTGGGGCTCCGGCCTCACGCCTTTCCTACAGTGACCACAGGACCAGAGGGAAGGAGAGGATGTATTGGTGGCCTGCGTCTAGTACCTGATTCGAAAAGAGGATCGGGATTGGGCTAGGTGGCCAGTCTTTCAGGCAGACGGTATTTTCTCGCAGGATTGGTACATTTCCTTCCTACGACATTAGGGAAGGAGGCCGGGCCCCTCACGTCCACCCCAAACTCTGCACTTACGCCACTTTGTGAGAGTTTAACCCTTACGAGCTACAACTCTGTGAGTTAGTCTAGATTCCAAACCACTATATACAAGACTACTTTTCTGGGGAGGTGGATTTCAAATTGGAAGGTGCAGCTTACACACAGATAATGGGAGAAACCGAAAACTTCAGTTTTAAGTGTTATTTGATTTCTACTTCAGTGATTTTAGTACTTCCAACCATGGGAGCTGGGCTTCTTAAAATATAAAATGTGGATTATAATTCCTCCTTGCTTACCTCCTAGTGTTGCTGTAGAGATCAAAACTGGAAATTGTTTTCTTTTTTTCAATTTTAAAATTATGTTTATTTATTTATTTATTTTTTGTACTAGGGATCGAACTCGGGACCTTGTGCTTGTGATGCAGGTGGTGGCACCACTGAGCTAAATCCCTGGCCTTAAAATTGTTGGTTTTTTGAGACAGGGTCTCACTATGTAGTTCAAGCTGGCCTTGAACTCACTCTGTAGCCCAGGCTGGCCTTGAGCTCATAGTGATCCTCCTGTTTCAGCCTCCTGGGTACTGGGATTACAGGAGTATATCATTGTGCTCAACTTCAAAAGAGGAAATTATGTAAGAAAACAGTTAAAAATGTAAATTAGCATATAACTGTTATTTACAAAAACTTTGAAAGATATCTCTTAGTTATTTGGGGACATCTGATTATCTTTTCTTTCTTTCTTTCTTTTTTTTTTTTTGGTATCAGAGACTGAACTCAGGACTTTGTGCTTGCTGGGAAGGTAAGGCGTCACTGAGCTACATCCCCAGCCCATGATTATATCTTTTTTATAATAGCTTTTTCGATAACTCTTAAGGAACAAACAGTAACGTTTTTTGCAAACAAGAAACTACTAACTAGTTTTTGATCAGATGAGATTTTGACAAAGCTGGCCTTGCTACTAGGTCCACCCTAGGCTGTCACGGGCATGGAGGCATTAGGAGGGACCTCCTTTGACCTACTGGGTCTGTGGTTCCTCTGAGGAACTAGCAGTGACCCCCAGACTAGAGTAAATGTCACCCACAGGCACCTCTTCCTGAGAAACCTCTGAGAAGGCTGAAATCTTAAGCCTAAACTGACTCTCTAACTGACTGTACCATTTATGCTCTCTGTAAACAGAACTAAAAGGGACAAAAATTGTCGACACCAAAATGATTAGTACTTTTGCTTTAGTGCCTGGGATTATAAACTCAAAAACAGTTCCGAAGCCACCCTTCCAGGTGTGGGGTGTGGTACAGCCCTTCACCCTCTGCCAAGGCCTTTTAAGCCACCTCTGTCACTGGGTCACAGGCTGAGGTGAGCTTCTCCCCTTCGTGCTGGGGCCCTGACTTTCACAGGAGCGAGAACTCACCCAGCCCACGGCGGCTGGACACTCGGTGCTGCACATAATGCTGTCAGAGGGAAGGGAAGATGTTGAAGACAGGATTAGTCGTTCCTTCAGGAATGAGCAGTTTTGCAGTTTTTTTTTAAAAGATTGTTATTGTGTTTTAATTAGTAAAATAGTAGATTATTTTATTTTATGCATATTAAATTTGTTTCATTCTTCACCATGTATATATACTGACTTTTGAAGTCATTCATAAAGGTACACATATGAAATTTCTCATAATGCATGAGTAAGTATAAAGACCAAGAAACAAAATGTCATATTCAGCTTTTTACATAGGAAGGGCAAGAGGTTTGAGGGGAGGAGGGGAAAGGGAAAAAAAAGAGGTGGGATATATCATGTACTGGTGCAAATTCCCTATGATAAGTGTTATCATTATGTATGCCTAAAATGTACCAATAAAAATAAATAAATAATAAATCAATCAATAAATGAATAGGAGTTTGACAAGTTTAAGGCCAGCCCGGTCGCCTTAGTGAGACCCTGTCTCCAAATGTGAAAAGAGCTGGGGATGCAGCTTAGTGCAGAGGTGCTGGGTTCAATCTGCAGTACTGAAAAAAAAAATTTTTTTTTTTTTTTAATTTTGAGACAGGCTAAACTGCCCAGGCTGGGCTTGAATCTGCAATCCTCCTGCCTCAGCCTCCTAGAGTGCTTGATTATAGATGTGTACCAAAAATTTTCCTAAATATATTTGCTAAATGTAATAATTTGCCCATCAAGAGTGGTATATTTATTTATTTTTAATTTTTATGTTGTCTCATTTTCATTTATTTGGTTGTTACTGAGGCTGGACATTCTTCATGTTAATGATCACTTAGTTTTTTCATGCTCTTTATCTGTTTTATTGAGTTATAAGAATTCTTTGTAAAGACAACACTTTTGTCATATATGTAACGAATACTTTTTCCCCTGAAACTGGAGTACAGTATTTTACAGAAGATGTTAAATGATGAGCTTGCAATTTTATTCATTTTTCTTTTATTATCAGTGTCTATTAACTTCACACAGTATTGAGTTTCAATGCATATAACATATTTTCATCATACCCATCTCCTCTATTTCTTATGTTTTTTTTTGAGGCAGTCCCACCATGCAGTCCAGGCTGACTTTGAACTCACCACGTAGCCCAAGGTGGCCTTAATTGCTCAATCCTCCTGCCTCGGTGCTGGGTTACAGGTGTGTGCCCCCCTGCCTGGCTTCACACACAGGTTCTTAGAATAATGCTGAATGCCTTTGGCCATATTTTCCTCACTTAATCTCCATGGAAACCAAATGAAGGCAGTAAATTATATTTTTAGAATGTCTTAGGACTTTGCCAAAGATTATCTATATAGTAAGGAGGAGTAATTCTATGAAATGTAGAAAGATTTAATTCATTTCAGGCTTTTAATGGAGGGCAACTGTGAAAAGCATCGCCCCACAATAACAGATGGATTGCTTAATTAAATTAATTTCTCCCATACCTCACTGCTTTGTAGTTTTTGAGAGAATAAACAGAACTTGTGGAAAACTGGTTCATTTACATAAAATGACATGTGGTGCTTTAGTTACTAAAATAAATGTGGAGATCAGAGAGTTGTAGCCTTTGTTAACATGACCGGAGTCATCAGAGCACATTAGAATGGCTCCTAAAACCATTATGGAAATTGACAGGGGGAATAAATTAAATTTATGCCGTGAATTGATGAGGTGTGCTTCACGCCTGACTCTTTTGCCAACCATAAAGTTACTGTGAAGGATTGGGAGCTCCTGGCCAGTGCATTCTGCATTTTATTTCTACAGTCACTCACCTTTAATGTTTTTATCAGTAAAGTAGGTTATTAATTGTGTGGATATTTTTGCTCTGGATATTTTCATATGAAAGTTTTAAAAAAAGCAAATTTTCTCTAGAATCTATCTTCAAAATCGATAATGTCAAAGTTAGAAATAAAATATCTAGTAAGGAAAAGTAGAGGAATTTTGTTCTTTGGCTACACAATTAAACTTTACAAATAAAAGAAAAAGACTATTCAAGCGGACGGGATGGGCTCAGGTGAAACAAGCTTACCACAAATCCACAGGAACCACTGAATTAACAAAAAGTATATTAAGGGTTGATAAAACTCCTAGAGCAATGAATATCATTAGGATTCTTTTTAAAAACCAGTTCTCTGATAACTTTGAATTTTGTGCTATGAGGCCTAACAAAACAGTACTTCATGTTATTTGGTTCAAAGTTAAATTGTTATTGGTGAGATTGAAAGCTAAAGACATTTAGACTGACCTGGTACTACTTAAGTTTTGCCAGGAAGTTGTATTCTGAGTTGGAATTTCACAGTCACTCTGATGATGTGGCCTTCTTCGAGGACTGAGACGTTAAAACCATTACTTTGAGAGAATGTGATTGTGCTTTGTTGATGTCTGCAGAATAGATTTTGTTTTTGTTTTTTGGTACTGGGGATCGAACTCCGGATCTTGGGCTTGCAAGGGCAGCGGCAGAACCATTGAGCAAAATCCCCAGTCCTAGATTTTGTAATGTTTGAAAAGAGCAAAAATCAGTTGCTACAGACAAGATGGGGGTAAAACAAATAAGGTATAAAACCACTTAAAAGGCCAAAAGAACCAGCACTGTTAAGTCTGTCCTTCTCTAGGATTGCCCTTATTAGAGTCTGAATAAAATACAGTACAAATGATTAGATCTTATGTTCTCAGTGAAGAATACATTTTATAGGGCCGGGGATTTAGCTCAGCGGCACCGCACCTGCCTCGAAAGCCCAAGGTCCTGAGTTTAATCTCCGGTACCAAAAGAAAAAAAAAATTACATACAGAATACATTTTACATCGCTAGTCAATTCCCATGTGCATACAAAAAATGGAAATAATAAGTTTCGTTAAGCAATACTCACTGTCTGTGAGTAATGTACTGTCTCCAGGAATTGGACCATTCCATTCCAGTTTTTAAAAATTGCCCTTTACTCTTAAATTAATTTCGTTACTTTCTTAGATGTTGATGCTTGCAGTTTAAAAAACAAAAAAAGACTACAGTTTTAGGAAACTCTTGAAGTCCTTTTTTTCTTTAATTTCACCGTGTCTGATTAGTGCAGGTGTTAACAGTACCTTTAACCTGGATCACAGAAAATCAGAGCTAGAGGAGACGCCTGGATAACCTGTTTTTTAAAAAGTATTTCATTATAGAAACTTGAATAGATTTGCAAGTAGAGAAAATGGGACGGTGAGCCTTAGGTAGTCAACACCAGCTCTTTAGTGGGTTATTTTGAGGTAAATCCCAAGGATGTTACTTTACCTGTAAATACTTTAGTTTGTGACTTTAGAAAGTAAGGAGTGACTGACTGGGTGTGATGGTGCATGCCTGTAATCCCAGCTGTGTGGGAGGCCGAGGCAGGAAGATGACACATTTGAGATCAACCTGCACAACTTAGACTCTGTCTCAGAAAAACCCAAAAAGGCCGGGATGTGGCTCAGTGGTAGGAGCACTTGCCTTATATGCACAAGTTGTTCTTTAATCCCCAAAGCTTCCAAAAAAAAAGTAAGGAGCCATTTAAAAATTTAATTTTATATTTCGCTGTGCCAGGGCTTTGTGCATGCTAGACAAATGCTCTACCTCTGAGCTACTTCCCCTGGCCAAGAAAGCTTTTTTGAAAAGTGTACCTACAAACTCATCCCTGTACCAATAAATAGTAGTAATTTCTATTCTCACCAATTATCCATCCAGTCAGTCTCTGATTGTATCACGGATTTAAAAAACCTATTCGATAGGAACCAATGCATCATACTTGGTAAATCTCTTTCTTTTGTAGATGGGTATAGTCAGGTATTCACTTTTGGTTTTTGCCAATGAGAGCCTATTATTTCTTTTTATTGTCATTCAAAGTATTAACTCAGATTCTCAGATTTGTTGTACAAGTTAATGGGCTTCACTGTGACATTTCCCTAAGCACATATGTTAGGCTTTGATCATAGTCACACTGTGATTCCTGCATATCTTGACTCTGTTTCCTTCTATAAATCTGTTTTCTGTGTGTGTGTGTGTGTGTGTGTGCGTGTGTGTGTGTGTGTGGTTGTGGTTGTTGGAGGGAGGATGGCTGAAGTGTGTGAGTGGGGCTGAGGAAGATAAGGTGGGAGAAACTGGACTGAGAGTTTGGAACCGAGGGTATAATTGGTTAGTTTATAAAGTTTGTGAAGAGTTGTCCTAAGTTAGTGCCTTTATTGTGTGTGTGTGTGTGTGTGCGTGTGTGTGTGGGTGTGTGGTTGAGGAAGTCAGGCTGTATAGACATTCTCCTGATCATTTTACATATTTTTTGCTCCTCATATTTCTAGTAAACTAATAGTTAGAAAGGGAGGCTTAATTATATTTGGCATATTGACAAGAATGCTCCAAAAGTACTTAATTTTTTTTTTTTCTGATTTTGAGACAATGTCTTGCTTTGTCGTTCAGGCTGGCCTTGAGCTCACTGTGTAGCTCCGGCTGGCCTCAAACTTGCAGCGATCCTCCTGCCTCAGCCTTCAGTGCTGGAGTGACAGGCGTGTGCCACCACCCCTGACCAGAGATATTTTGAATTTCCATAGTGTGATATGAGTAGAACAATGTTTGCTTGTCTCTTTTTTGTGACTTTAGGACTGATCAGTGGCTCCAGGTCTTACTGTCTCCATGTTCCATTACTGAAATTTCCTGTCAGCTTTCTACCTGGTGGATCATCTGTTGATGATCTCTGGGTTGATCTATTGCTTTGTTAAGCATTTCAAAATGAGGATATTTTATCTCTGTGTATTTGCCTTTATTAGCTGGACATTTAAAGAACTTTATCTTAGCTATTTTATTTACTGTAGAATATTTACTATAGAATTATCTGGTTATAATAAAAGGCTAGATACATGCCCATTTTATTCCCTTTGTCATCAGATTTTTAGTCATGGTTCTCTGGACTCCTTCAAAGGTGACTGTGAGTTTTTAGTTTTAATTTTCTTTTTATTATTGTATCACACTGAGTGATGTACTTCATACCACTAAATTTGTTACTCGATTTGATGCTCAAATTGTCCCAGGTTAGACCAGTGGGAAAGCTTTGAAATTGACTCTGGACACCTTTGTACCTGATCGCAAGTGCTCCAGTTTGAGTCTTGACTGTCCCAAAACCAGTGTGTTAAGCCTTGGTCCCCTAAGGGTGGTGGAGACTTTAGGGGTGTGCCCTAGCAGGGGAAGGGTAGGTCATTGGGGGTGGATGAACAAGTGATGTTTCCCAGGGTGGGAAAAGCTGTGGCACATAGGAGGAAATGGTTGTTAGCTGGACCTCAGACCAGGGGCTAGCACACTGTGCCCGCAGGCTTACTAGCTGCTTTGTAAATAAAGTTTTATTGAAACAAAGCTATACCACTTCATTTATGTTTTTTTGGAGTTGCGTATTTGGGATGGAGACCATATATGATCTGCAAATACTAAAAAATATGTGTCCTTTATAGAAGTTTTTGCCAACCCCTGCTTTAGCTTTAAAAATGACAGTTATGAGTGATTGGCACTTATATGCTGCTGCTTTCCTTTTCCGACTATATCATCTTTGTTGAAACGTTCACACACATTGTTAGCTGCTGTTTTTCTTCTAGACACTGATGTGCCTCAGATAAACTCAAAGAAGAGTGAAGAAAAGGAGTCAATTAAGAGTGAGCAAGAAAACAAGAGGAAAAAACACCATAAAGATTATCAACCCAACTATTTCCTGTCCATTCCGATCACCAACAAAAAGGTACCATTTTTTTAATGCTGTTTTTACTGAGACCCCATGCATGCCAGGCAGGTGGTCTACCGTGGAGCCACATTCCCAGCCCAGCATTCAGATTTAAACAACAGTTCTGCTAAAGCTGCTGGACCAAGATGGCATGACAGTGCTTTCCAAGCACTTGTTCACTTTATCGGGGGAACTTTCAGAAGTAGAGACAAGTGATCAGATGGGAAAAGAAGATTCTGAAATCTCTGGGGTGGAGTAAACTGCAGTTTCTGGTTACTTAGTCCCTTTTGTGGCGCAGATTATTACAACCATTTCTTTAAAAACTACTCTAGTTAAAAGCTAACTGCTGTATAGGTTGAGTGTCCCTCATCCAAAGGTGCTCTGGCCCAGAAGTATGATACATTTTGAATTTCGGAAGATTTTCAAAGACGTAATGAAATATCTTGGGGATGGGACCCAAGTCCGAATGTGGAAATCACTTGTTTCAAATACGCCATACGTAGGGCCTGGAAGTAATCTTACACGGTAACTTATAGTGTGCCTGCGTTTGGACTGTGACCCATCCACATGAGGGCACATGTGAAATTTTTTATTGGTGGCATCTTGTTGGCCCTCAGAAAGTTTTATATTCTCGAGCACTGTTGATTTCAGAGTTTGGATTAGAAATGTTCAACCTGTGGCAGACTTGATGTGGCATGGAACACTCAGTAGAAACCTGTTAAGAATCTGAGAGATAAATGTGAAATGTGATATGAATAGGGGAAGATGGTACCAGCCAGGTAGCTCATACTAAAAATCTTTTTCTTTTTCTTTTTCCCCGCTACTGGGAATTGAACCCAGTGTCTTTGCACTGAGCCAAATGCCCTATCTTTGTGTTTGTTTGTTTGTTTGTTCGTTTTGAGACAGTGTCTTGCTAAGTTGCCCAGGTAGAACTTGAACTCGTGATGGTCCTGTTTTTATTCCCTTTGTCATCAGATTTTTAGTCATGGTTCTCTGGACTCCTTCAAAGGTGACTGTGAGTTTTTAGTTTTAATTTTCTTTTTATTATTGTATCACACTGAGTGATGTACTTCATACCACTAAATTTGTTACTCGATTTGATGCTCAAATTGTCCCAGGTTAGACCAGTGGGAAAGCTTTGAAATTGACTCTGGACACCTTTGTACCTGATCGTAAGTGCTCCAGTTTGAGTCTTGACTGTCCCAAAACCAGTGTGTTAAGCCTTGGTCCCCTAAGGGTGGTGGAGACTTTAGGGGTGTGCCCTAGCAGGGGAAGGGTAGGTCATTGGGGGTGGATGAACAAGTGATGTTTCCCAGGGTGGGAAAAGCTGTGGCACATAGGAGGAAATGGTTGTTAGCTGGACCTCAGACCAGGGGCTAGCACACTGTGCCCGCAGGCTTACTAGCTGCTTTGTAAATAAAGTTTTATTGAAACAAAGCTATACCACTTCATTTATGTTTTTTTGGAGTTGCGTATTTGGGATGGAGACCATATATGATCTGCAAATACTAAAAAATATGTGTCCTTTATAGAAGTTTTTGCCAACCCCTGCTTTAGCTTTAAAAATGACAGTTATGAGTGATTGGCACTTATATGCTGCTGCTTTCCTTTTCCGACTATATCATCTTTGTTGAAACGTTCACACACATTGTTAGCTGCTGTTTTTCTTCTAGACACTGATGTGCCTCAGATAAACTCAAAGAAGAGTGAAGAAAAGGAGTCAATTAAGAGTGAGCAAGAAAACAAGAGGAAAAAACACCATAAAGATTATCAACCCAACTATTTCCTGTCCATTCCGATCACCAACAAAAAGGTACCATTTTTTTAATGCTGTTTTTACTGAGACCCCATGCATGCCAGGCAGGTGGTCTACCGTGGAGCCACATTCCCAGCCCAGCATTCAGATTTAAACAACAGTTCTGCTAAAGCTGCTGGACCAAGATGGCATGACAGTGCTTTCCAAGCACTTGTTCACTTTATCGGGGGAACTTTCAGAAGTAGAGACAAGTGATCAGATGGGAAAAGAAGATTCTGAAATCTCTGGGGTGGAGTAAACTGCAGTTTCTGGTTACTTAGTCCCTTTTGTGGCGCAGATTATTACAACCATTTCTTTAAAAACTACTCTAGTTAAAAGCTAACTGCTGTATAGGTTGAGTGTCCCTCATCCAAAGGTGCTCTGGCCCAGAAGTATGATACATTTTGAATTTCGGAAGATTTTCAAAGACGTAATGAAATATCTTGGGGATGGGACCCAAGTCCGAATGTGGAAATCACTTGTTTCAAATACGCCATACGTAGGGCCTGGAAGTAATCTTACACGGTAACTTATAGTGTGCCTGCGTTTGGACTGTGACCCATCCACATGAGGGCACATGTGAAATTTTTTATTGGTGGCATCTTGTTGGCCCTCAGAAAGTTTTATATTCTCGAGCACTGTTGATTTCAGAGTTTGGATTAGAAATGTTCAACCTGTGGCAGACTTGATGTGGCATGGAACACTCAGTAGAAACCTGTTAAGAATCTGAGAGATAAATGTGAAATGTGATATGAATAGGGGAAGATGGTACCAGCCAGGTAGCTCATACTAAAAATCTTTTTCTTTTTCTTTTTCCCCGCTACTGGGAATTGAACCCAGTGTCTTTGCACTGAGCCAAATGCCCTATCTTTGTGTTTGTTTGTTTGTTTGTTCGTTTTGAGACAGTGTCTTGCTAAGTTGCCCAGGTAGAACTTGAACTCGTGATGGTCCTGTTTCAGCCTCCCTTGGTGCTGGGATTCCAGGTGTGAGCCAGTGCCGAGCTGAGAAACTTGTAAGAAAGAGCACCTCCTTTAGAAGACTGTTTTTGCATTTCAGCCCAGTTTTAGAGCCAGATCAAAATTATTGATTGTGGGCTTTCATTGCTTTGATTAGGTGCATTTTCAGATTGCTTCTCTTGGTTTAACTGGAATGTTTCTAGAGGATACTAGTGAATACTCTTTATTTGTTAATTTATTCATTCATCGTTTGAGGTTCTGAGTGTGGAGCCCAAGATCTCACATACGCTAGACATGAACGCTACCACCTAGCCACTACCCTGGTCTGGCTAATGAATATTCAGAGAGCAAATAAAATGGAAATCAAAGAAATGCAGTATCAAAAGAAAAATAATACTACTGTTGGGCCATTCGAGGAACAATCTACCCTGTGAATACAGTTTAGCTGGGTTGGAAAGAGATATAAAGAGAGAAAAATTATATAGCCGTAGTCGATTTTAGATTTGACACAGTGACGCATCATATCCTGGTTTTAGTAATACATATTTGATTCCTTTGGTGGGTGAATGAAAGTGTTTAGGTGATAACAAAATTATATGATATTCTTGCAAGTTGTTTGGATAGTTTTTTGTTGTTGTTGTTTGTTTGTTTTTCTGGCTATGTAGCCCAGGCTGGCCTTGAACTTGTGGTGACCGTCCTGCCTCAGCCTCTCTAGTGCTGGGATCACAGGTGTGCACCTGCACACTGAGGCCTTGCTTCTGCGTCTGCACTCTTGTGAGGATGTGTGGGCGCTGGAGGGGTTGTTAGACGACGACACCTGTGTCACCAGCTCCTTCGTGGTGTCGCCCAGTGACCTAACCTCTGCGTCAGCTTCTGTTGGTGCCAGTACTGACCTGGGTGATTCTTTTCCAAGCCCTGGTGTGAGCCCACCTCCGGCCTGCTCAGAGCCTCCAGGACCACCCCGCTGGTTTCCGTTTCCCCCTCTCCTGGCTGCTCCCTGCCAGCCTAGCTTTCTGCTTCATCCTGTCTGCGGTTCCCTGGCCTCCCTGGCTTCCCTCTTCCCAGGCAGGGGGAGTTTTCTCTCTCCTTGGGATCCTCAGGCCTCTCCCCAGGGCCCCTCACCCTGTCAGCTTCCCTCTTCCTCTTGCTCCACCCGCAGCATGGACGGCTTTCCGGTTGTCATTTGTCACCTTTGCAGTTGGACACTTGCCTTCCTCACAAAATGTTTTAATGCGCTGTTAGTACCCACCCTAGAGCTTGCCCCACGGTAGGCCTGCAATCACACACACACACATGCACACAGTACTGTCGTTTTAGGAGTAAAGGTGGTTTGCATGGTGGCAAATTTGAGTCAGAACTCGTGTTTTTGCCGTGTGCTGGGGGTGGAAGCTGGGTCCTTGTGAGTACTAGGCAGGCGCTGTACCCCTGAGCTACAGCCTGAGATCGAGGACTCTTAGGGTGCCTAATAAATACAGCGCTCCAAATGCAGGTTTCACCGTATGGGTTCACTGTAAATCATTGTTTTGGCAGCAATAGGAGCGTCTAATAGTGGGAAACGCAGGTTTATTCAATGACTTTCTCTCAAGAGACTTAGTTTTAGGTAGCAGGAGGCTTGGAGAACTTCCACACAGATATGGAGGCAATGGAAGAATTGGACAGGAGGAGACATATTTTGTATCTTTTGCATAAGCCTTTTTGTGTAGTTTGTTTTAAAGTATCTAATGTTAATTTTCTTTTAAAACTGCTTAGGCGCCTTTGTAAGGAGGCATGGGAAAAGGGGCAGCATTGGTGACCTTGTTTCAGCGGAAGACTGAATTCCAGATGCCAATTAAGCAACCTGCACAGGGGCTGTTGGGAGCCAGCACTTTCACAATGAGTCGTTCTACTTTTGGCCTCTGTTTGTTGGCATCTAGTTTTAAAGCAAAACCATTCAGAATTACACAGGTCTTTGAATACAGACACATTCTTAGACGTTTGGAATTCTGTAATAATGGAAAATCTGTAATGACAGAGTCTTGACTTCTTATTTTTAGAATTAGAACGGGGGGCCGGGGATTTAACTCAGTGGTGCCGCTGCCTGCCGCACAAGCGCAAGGTCCTGAGTTTGAACCCTGTACAAAAAGAAAGGAGAGAGAATTAGACCTGGGAAGTGTATTAGAATGGCTACATAAAAGTTTCAGAGATGCATACAAGCATGTGTTTCTTCACATTAAAGATGAAAGGAGAAAAACATTTTGATGAGGACATAGTAAATCTTAAATGTTTCT